AGGGAGGCGCAGAGGTTGTACTCCACAGCCACCCCTACAGGAGGCACTACGGGAAATGAGGGATCCCCACAGGGGAGTGGGAGATAAGGGGCTGTCCCCTGAGAGGCCATCTGCCCTGCTCCCAAGGAGGAGCAAAGAGCAGGGCTGTGCCAGGAGCTGCTCGCGAGTCCCTCCTGCCTCGGGAGGCACCTGACAAGGCGGCCTCTGCCCCAGCCGAGCCTGCCCAGAGGTGGTTCTCCACCACTCCCCAGACCCGGCAGCGCTCTGGAGGGCCCAGTACCTTTGCCAGTCTCCTGGCTGCTGCTCTCTTCTGCAGCGCTGTCTGTCTGCAGGTCCTTCTCGCAGGGGTTGTGCGACTGCAGGACTCCCCTGGCAGAGGAGCCGTGCCGCTCCAGCCCGTCTCGGCCCAAGTCCCGCGGGTGAGCAAGTTTCCGCCGCAGGATTGTGATTTCCTTCTTGATCATCTTGGCCCGGCGGGACCGTCCTATGGGCTGTTTGCCAGCATTGACCTCATCCAGCCGCTCCAGCAGAATCTTTAGCTGCTCCTCCAAGGGCAGGTGCTTCTGATTCTCCGAGAGCAGCAGCCGCACGTCCTCTGGGGGAACAAAGAGAAGCCGATGGGTGAAGAAGTCAGGAACTCTTTGGAGCTCCTCTGCCTGAAAGGGCGTGGTGCAGTCCAGGTTCCCTGCTGGCGGGAAGTAGCTGACATGGTACCAAACGCCTGTGAACATGGTAAGTTACCCTAAAAAGCCTGCAGCAGGAGCCCTGTGGGAAGCACGCCAGTTGGGACTAGTGGGGAAAGAAGGCCGATCAGCAGCTTGGAGAATATCAGGGTTCCCATCAGCTGGGGCAAGGACACAGCAGGAAAAACAAAGGCCATCTTAACAGGCACAACAAGAGTCAAAGGGATCCTGAAGCATTACAGAGCAGGGAAGTTCCCCTGTCTGAGCCCGTCCCATGCTGGAGCAGGGAGAGGGGGGGACACTAAAAGGATCCTTCTCTGACAAGCTGTTCCTGGTGGTGCTCTCCACTGCCCAGAGACAAGCAGAACTACAACCACGGAGCCAGTGAGATCTGGCTGAGGGGTATCAGGAGCTGTGCAGCAGCCAGCAAAGCCTGCAGCTGGGGAGAGAGGGGGAAGCACACAGCTCTGAGCAGGGGGAGTCAGCCCTTCTAGCTGGGCAGCACAGCAGGAGCCTCAGCAGCTCACAGCCAGTGCCGGGGACAGGGTGAGAGACAGTACCCCTGATGCTGGCCAGGGAGGTCATGTCCCAGGCAGCCCCCTGCTGTGACCAAGAGGAGGACGAGGGACCAAGGGACCGGCAGGACATCCACTGCCTAGACCCAGCCTCAAGGGGCCGATAGGCACCTGGCTAGCAAAGCCTCCCCCACTGGGAGCGGGGACACACAGCCCAGGCGTCCGACAACCTCCCGTGGGAGGCAGCTCGAACAGAGCCCCGGGTGCCCTGACTCCGCCGGAACAGGGCATGAGTACCCACCGTCCTCGATGTCTTGGACCTGAGCCTCTTCCACCGTTACACAGTGGGGGAAGTGCATGCCTGTCTCAAAGTCAATGCCCATCTTCTCCGCCTGCCGACGAGCCTGCCGGAGAACGGCGCCTCCCTGCTCCCGCAGACGGATGGCTGCCCGGTAGAAGATTGTGTCTTTGGCATTGTATTTCAAACAGTTGTTGATAATTAGGTTGAAATCTTCCTCAAAGTCATCAAAATTCAGATAGCGATAGGCTTCCAGGTTTTGTTTCATTGTCTGAAAATCCATCGGCTTCTTGATGTGATCCAGGTAGTCTGGGACCTGCACGAGGAAAGAGGCAGAGCTAAGAGCCCGGCGCCACCAGTTAGCATTACCTGCTCCAAGAAAACAGTCGTTAGAGGAAATCAGGTACCGCTCCCTGCGTTCTGCCCAAATGCACATCGGGGAATGCCGTCTGCTTTTGCAGCTTGAGGCACAGTAACGCCTCCGGACTAGGGAGCCCATGTGCTGTGCTCAACCTGTTAGAGCAGATACGCACTCGGAAGCGTTTTTACGGCTCCGGCGCACACGCCAGCATCCCGTCCTCTCCTCCTGTCTGTGGGCAGCTGGGTATGCTACACGGCATTGCCCGGGGGAGGAAGCTGCCAGCGCAGCCCCCGGGGGCGAGGGTGAGTGCAGTAGGTAAAACAAAACCATCCAGGCAGCAGCAATGGCTGCAGGTGGGACCGTGCAGCCTTCCTGCCCCGCTCTGCCGAGACACTTCCGTGCCGACCTGCTGCCAGAGCCGTGCAGAGCCAGCACGGCCTTTCCCCACCTCCCCAGGTGGGGGCTGGACAGTGTCAGGAACCATTTCCCTTGCCCCCAGCAGTGACAGTCTGGGGGTCAAACCCGTTTTTGTGCTGTGCTCGGTCTGTCACCTAGCAGAGGCCTTCACGAGAGGACAGGTAAGAGCGTGCTCACTTCCGTGCCGACCTGCTGCCAGAGCCGTGCAGAGCCAGCACGGCCTTTCCCCACCTCCCCAGGTGGGGGCTGGACAGTGTCAGGAACCATTTCCCTTGCCCCCAGCAGTGACAGTCTGGGGGTCAAACCCGTTTTTGTGCTGTGCTCGGTCTGTCACCTAGCAGAGGCCTTCACGAGAGGACAGGTAAGAGCGTGCTGCCTGCCAAGGGCCGGCATTCTGCCTTACCCAGCGGGAATCCCCAGCCTCTCACAGACACTGGGGAGTCACCAGCAAGATGCGCAGAGGACGAGCCAAGCGCTGGGCTGCTGGCCGGCACCAGCTCAGCTGCTCTGCGTTTGGCTCACCCAGGAGGGGCACTGCTGCACACTCACCCCCCTTGGGTGAGCGGTGCTGGGATTGTGAGCCAGCACCAGGCTGCGCGGGGGAGCCCCCGGACCAGAGGGCGCCCCGGGCAGCCCTTGGCACAAGCAAGGGACAAGTTCGAGTGAAGTAGAAATCTGGGGGAGGGGGTTCTTACTTCGTAGATTTCTGTTACCTCAGACAGAGGGACCGGCTCGCTGAAGATGTTGCCCGTGTCTTTCTCCTGCAGCTGCTCAAGTGTCTTGCGGAGGAGGATGAGGAAGGGGGTCAGCTGCATTTCCAGGGCCACCTGCTGCACTTTGATCTGAAACACAGCAACGGAGCCAGGCTGAGCCCTGGGCCCAGCAGCAGGGACAGGCCCCAGGGAGCAGCGGCACAGTCCTGCGGGACGACACCTCTCCTCATGCGAGGGGCAGGGACTGCCCCTCACCCCCGGCGTCACACCAGCTCCAGCACCTGCGTCCCACCTCAGCCTGGCAGAGCAGCCACCTTTGCTCAGAGCCCCCGGGGCAGGGCGCAGCACGGCTGAGGGGACCCCCGCGCTCGCCCTACGGCACTCTAAAGAGCCCATGCTCCTGCCCACCCCAGCAGCTCCCCAAGGAGGGGCAAACAATCGTTACCGTCTCTCTCTTGAGCTTCTCCCGCTTGCGTATCAGCTCCACCAGCAAGCGTGCACGCTCTAGGTCATGGCGGAGGCGCTGCCATGACTTCAGCTGCTCCTTCAGGGCCCAGTTCTTATCCTCAGTGTCTCTCTGCAGGAACATCAGAGACGATGAGCAGATAGGAGATGCCTTCCCATCTCTGCCTTCCTGACCGTGTCCCTGGCAAAGGGAACCGGCATGCCTGACCCGCTGGTTCAGCAAAGGTCCTGGTTCTCTTGTTGTAACCTAGGCAGGTGGCTCAGAAACAGTCCGACCTCTGGGCAGAGCTGAATACCCGCTCCTTGGTCACCAAGCCCTTAGGATGCCAGGAGGCGGACATCCCAAGCCTCTGGAAATACTCCTCCTAACACAACCAACTGCCTGCAGCTGCCCAAGAGCAGAGATCAACAATCAAGGGTCTGTGCTGCTGCTCAGAGCTCCAGTGAAGGGCAACAGGGCAAAAAGGGAACACAGCTCTGGTTGCTTTCACTTCTGGAGCACCAAAATAAAGCCTACTTTTATTCTGCCGTAGACAAAGATGAGCAGAAGGAGTCTCAACTCTTCTCCAGCAAATAAGAGGGGGCAAAGGCAGGAGAAATCCCTGCCCAATCACAGTCTTCAAAGGGCTCAGAAAGAAAGATTTAGAGCTCAGACAGGGAGCCAGAAGAAAAACCTTCCTCTCTGGCACCAGACACTTCACATCTGTGAAGCGCTGACTAAGGGCTGAGGCAGACAGTGGGCTGGAAGCAGCACCCACAAGGAGTGCTCCTGGAGCGGTTTCAGAAACTCGAAGTGAGGCCTTGGTTCCTTCCAGACTGTTTCTGGAGCTCTCCGGCCATCTCTCTCAACACTCACTGACACGGCAGCCCCAAACTAGAGCCATTTCGGACAGGTCTGCCATCGCCACCGGCCAAACGCGGGCACAAGGAAGGAGCTAACTTCGGCGTGGCAGCATGAGAGGGCAGGATTCCCTTCCCGTGGCCAGCAGCGTCACTGCCTGGCGAATCTCCGGATGCCGAGAGCGGAGGAGAAGGTGAAGCAGCAAAAGCAGCTGGGGCTGCCCTTCCCTGACCCGGGAGCTTGTACCGCCGGCCCCCGTTCTGCGCCTGCAGGCACCGCATGCAGCAAAGGCTTTGAGCCCGCGGCTCCGACGGCGCAGGAAGCACGCCGGATTCCCAAGCAAGCAGGATTCCCTGCAGCGCCCCAACGAGCCGCCCTTACCTGGTCGCAGTTTCTTTGTGACTGCAGCAGCTGGGGCTGCCCTTCCCTGACCCGGGAGCTTGTACCGCCGGCCCCCGTTCTGCGCCTGCAGGCACCGCATGCAGCAAAGGCTTTGAGCCCGCGGCTCCGACGGCGCAGGAAGCACGCCGGATTCCCAAGCAAGCAGGATTCCCTGCAGCGCCCCAACGAGCCGCCCTTACCTGGTCGCAGTTTCTTTGTGACTGCAAGTGTGTCTGAAGGCGGCGGAGCAGGGGGACACCGTTTCGGGACTGTCTCTTCAGAGTCCAGTAGCTGTGCAGCCTCTGCATGAACTGGCTCTTCCTCTGGATGGTTAAGCGGTTTGTAATCTTACTGAGCCTGAAGAAGGGAGAGGAACCACAGACCCCATCAACAAGGCACGCCTGGCCGCTGCAGGAGAAGCCCTGGCTGGGGGGGATGTAGCAGCAAGGAGAGCAGCTGAGAAGCTCCTCGGGCAGAAAACACCCTTTCCCATGGCAGGAATTGCTGTAACACCAAGTCATGCAGGGCAGCTGCCCCTCACCCCCAAGTCAATCACAATGGAGAACGCCAGGAAACATCCAGCCTTGCCTCTCCAAAATGGACTTTTCCTTTCTACCTCCTGCCAACTCTTGGGCAAAAGCCTGGGGCAGGCTGCACCGGGTCGGGGTACAACACAGCCGTATCAGGGGCCTTTAACAGCTCCCACAGTCCCTGAGACTGCGAGCATTACAGCGCTCCTATCCCAAAACCATTATTTACCTGGCAGAGGGCCACTTGCTGTGACAAAGGCCCTGGTCAAACGTTACCAGACAAACACGAGCCCCAGGGAGCCTGTAACTTGACCAAAACCTGGCAAAGCATGAGCAGGGAACAGGAGGCACAAGCACAACAGAGCTGCTATCCGAGCTAATGAAGGACTACCCTAAAGAGCCCAGAACACCACAAAAGGGATTTTCCTACTCTCTACAACAGCAGAAAGCCTGGAGGGGCTGGGACAGCCTCATTCAGCAAAGCTGGACAGAGATGCCCTGCTAGTGGGGAGCCGAAGGGACGAACTCCCAGCATCTCCACGCCTCTTTGCAGGGGATGATCCGACCTGCATCAGCCCTGGCTGAAGGGGCTGGGAAGAGCAGCCTCCTGTGCCATCGCCGGCCAAGCGCAGCTCCCACAGGAAGACATTTGGCATTCTGGCAACAGCCCTTGAAGAATAATTAATCCCAACAGGAAGGCCTGGGGAGAGGTTAACAGCTTCTAGCTCAGTGTGGGTTTCGCCGCAAGCGCAACGACAGCAGCAAGAGCCTACAACCCACCTGCCAACGCGTCCACACATAAGAAAAGAAGCTCCGAGCAAGCCCCGAGCGAGCAAAAACATACAGTCAGGTCACAAAGAGACCGTGGCAAAAAGCCAGCAGCCTCGTAGCAGAGACCTGCCTCCACAAGTCACCAGAACGCTGCCCAGAGAGCAATGCCCACAGCTGCTGCGTGCTCCCCTCCAACCACAGGGGAGATAGCCTTGAGGGTCTGCAGGGAAGTGGCGGTCCCATGTCCCTGCGCTGTCACAGCCGCACTCAGCGGGCCAGCAGGTACGGACGGCGCCAGGGTGTCACGGGGTTACGCCCCCGGCACAGCTCCCACCGCTGGGAGGAGGAGGAGGAGGAGGAGGACAGCTCAGCAGCTCAGGGGGGGTGGCTCACAACCACGAAGGCAAATGCTTCCGTGCCCAACCAGCGCCTCAGCTGGGTGATGCCTGCTGCAGGGTGACAGCAAGATCCAAAACCGCCCTAAGACGCTTCCATGTGCTTCTGCACGCTGCCGAGGACACCCAGCATTATAAACTACACTGACAAAAATTCTGGCAAGGCTCTTGGATGCTCTTGTTTCAGGATTTGCTGGTGTGCAAACAGCCAGCCCAACGATCAGACCAGAGCAAGACACACAGCAGCTACACCTGCAATTACCGGGTGTTTGTGTCTTCCTGTGAGCACTCAGGGTCAGGACACAACACAACTGCGACCCCTTGGCAAGGCCTCAGGTACCGTCCCGACATCACCTGCCATGCCCTCGTGCTGTGAACCTCACGACAGTCGCGCCCCTCGGCAGGCAGGAGTCCTGGCCCTCTCCAGCCACCCCTGGCAGGCAGCTGTGCCGAGGCTCCTTGCGCCCC